TGTTTTAAAAGTGGAATACTCTACACGTCCTCTTCATTTTTCCTCTTGGCAGCACGCCATAAGCTGTTTTTTTCATCGCGAACGATGCTGATCACCATTTTATCCATCGGATCCGAGACAGCTTCTTCAGTGGTTGTTGGCCACAAAGCATCGGATGGTACCTGACGTTGGGCATCTTCCTCTAAACGCGTCAATATCGCCCTTAATTCTTCGATTGAGAACATTTGTCGTCCGATCGGTTCACATGTCTGATTCTGCGGTATTTCCTTGGATTCTCCTGCGTCCACTTTTTCCGTCGTCGTTTTATTGAGCCCTAATACTGTTGGTTCCACCAATTTTTTATCTTCTATTTGTGTCGGACCAATGGTGAAGACGAACGGCCGAGGACTGATCGTGCTTGCCCTCACTGTCTGGTAGACTGACGGCATTGATGTAGAAGGGGCTGGCACCTCTTGAAGTTCCTGCGAGCTAGTCGCTGGCAAAGCCGGACACAATTTTGCTTGCTGGTTAGCCGAGATGCTGGCTGACGTCATGGCCAGCTCATGACCCGTGGAGGGGACTCCAAATAGAGTTGACTTACTGGCTGATTCTTGAATAGTTTTCATATTGTTTGAGGCCCTCTCTGGGGTTATCGTACCTGTGGCAGTCTGAACTATGGAATCGGTTTCCTCGACTTCCGGTTGTAAGACCTGTACATATTGAGTTTTTACGTTATCTGCATGCCGTATGCGATGCGATTTGTGCACCTTCCGTTTTCCCAACTTAGGGCCTGCCACCGCTACTATACCATTTGGCAATGCTGGTGCTGGACTAGGCTCCTCAAGGTGATCGACTTCCTCTTCCGGCTCAAAGGCCAAATTTTTCTGACCGTCTGTCTCTTCGAGGATGGGTGGCCCTAAGGTACCTCGACCAGATGTAATTAAGGTTAGACGATGGCCATGAGAAATGGAGTCACTGCTTGGTGAACGGTTGTGGCGGTAGTCTACGGAAGTCCGTCTTAATGCCATCCCTTTGGAGCGGATCATATCGAGAAAGGTACATTGAAACTCCTCCTGCATCTTGCCCCGGTTCACGAGGCTGGCTCGTTTAGCCGATCGTAACACCTGCATCAGATGGGCGGGATTCTCGAATGTTTCCTCCGTCAAGATGACAGAGTTGCGATACTTAAAGGCCGAAGGCATATCGGTCGTTAAGGTCAATTCAGGACTCTCTTCTTTCTCACTGTACCTGGGCTTTTCACTCATCCGTCTCTCAGAGCCTTGCATGTAAGCCATACTTAATTCGCTCGGATACGAGCTGATTTGGCCACGAAATCGTGTCTTTAATCCATCCGGCAGGTCCGCCAGCGCCGTCTCCGTATTGCTCGGCCTTATTGTGGCATAATGAAGCTTTAGGGCTATCTTCTCATAAACCTTGACGATCTTCTGATCATGAGTCTCTGGATCACGCTGTAGCACTTTGCGCACATACCGGTCGTCGATGAGCAAGCAGAACTCACGCACAGCATTGCGGCCCTTTTCGCCACTGATTCCCTCGGCTGCTGCCAGCATCTCATCGAGCACACTCTTGGTTAGCTCCCCGAACAGGCTCAGATTCTCGCTGACACGCATGCGAATTTTCAGGAAGCGAACAAGTGGTTTCATTGTCATGCCCATCCCGACAATAGTGAAGAGAATGATGAACAGTGTCGCGGTGACAATGGTCCCCTTGCGTCGAACGCCCAATTGTCCCTCACCAAGAGTGGTCTCATTGATGAGGACTGAGAGTGAGAAAGCTACGGCACCGCGAAGACCACCATATATCATGATGATTTGTTCGGTCAACGAGATGCGGTACTCATCTACTCGCACCCAATTGATGATGGCCGTGAGCAAGAAGACAGAGATCGCCCTGGCAATAATGCAGATCGTGATGCCCCACAGATGGAAGCCGGTGTGCCAGAACATGTTTTCCCGAAACAATTCGAGTCCGATGTAGAGGAAGATTACAGCCTCGCTGAGTTCAGCTACAACCTTGGTTACGTTCTTAACGACTACGAGACTGTGTGGCTGTAGATTGTGGAAGGCATAGGAGGCTTGTACCAGTCCGCACGCTGTCATTGAGATGATGCCGGACCAAGAGATCACATTGGCCATAGTGTAGGCGAAGTAGCCAAGCATAAGGACTATGATCACCTCCATGGAGCTGGTGAAACGCGTAATCAGGCAGGTTGCAATGCCAAAGATCACTCCGATGATGAGACCGCCGAGGCTGACTGTAAAGAAGGAGGCGAAACCAACTGCGATTTCGCCTCCAGTGATTACAGCCTTTCCAGCGAAAGCTTGCATTATTTGGTAGAGTACCACAGTCACAGCATCATTGAGGAGAGATTCCCCAAACACCATGTAGTAGAGAGCCAAGTCAACTCCAATGTCTTGAAATATGGCCAACACCGCGACTGGATCAACAGCCACGATCAGTGAGCTGAATAAAAGGTAACCTTTTATGTCCATATCAAGTATGGGCTGGCCCATGGCGCCGGCCAGTTCCAGGCCGTACATGACAGGTCCTATTATGAGGAAAGGTATCACAGTCCCGACAACGGCATAGATCAAAATGATTCCAAGAAATTCACCGAAAGTTCGATTGTAGAGGTTGTAGGCGGACTCAAGGACAATTGGCGGCAGAAGAAAGTCAAAGAAAAGGGATGGTGTTAACTTCCACGTCTCAATTTGAGTGGTTACGTGGCCGAAGTTGATGATTGCCCCAAACACAGTTCCGAGCCCTATCAACAATAGAGATTCCGGTACCACAGCAGCTACAGCTGGCAGACGAAGATATGATACTTTGAGGAAGATAACAATAATGAGGAAAATCATTACTGTTATCTGGACTGAGAATTCATGGTATTTCCAGGCGGCAGCAGAAACTCCCCCTGGAGCTTCGTGTTCCGGAGCCGCATGGCTAACGTTCCCCGCACCATGGGGGACCAACTCTCTAGAGGGTACAGCAGTGAACGGATTTGCAGACACTGCTGGGTTGGAGGGGCCAATTCCATTGAGAAGGGTTAAAGCAAGGAAGATGAATGTGGAGGAAATGTACGAAGAGGAGGGATAAGAAGGCCAAACGAAGGACACTTTGCGCGGGGCCTCCATTCAAATGGAGAAAAACAAACAAGGAATATGACGACTTATGATAAAGAAGGAGACAGTTTAGATGACTTGATCCAGGCAGCTTTGGAAGATGGAGTTCAGCTTCAGCGAAAAAGGGCGAATCGGAAGCATTCTCTTTATGCAAAATGCGGTCATTCAGTCTCCGAATCGCACTCTCCAATGGAGCTATATATCACGTGCTTCCGGGATGATTCGTAAAAAAAGCATACATAAAGAAAGGGAGAGGGGGCTTTTGTTTAATGCATTAATGCAGGATCTGTGTGAAGAAAGAGTACATACGCCTTCAGAGTCAAAGGTGTCAACAAAATGACACGCGAAAGGAAGGCAGGCCAAAGCGCCACTTTCGTGTCAGGACACGCATCTGTATTCTTCGGTTTAAGGGCTTGTCATAGAAACACTCGCCTTTGAGCAAAGTGATGTACAGAGAGCAAAATCACCCACTGATTGAAACTCGAGCATATGTTTTGGACAAAAGCTTGAATCCAGATGTGGCGCTACAGTCTACAAGATGATCCAGCCTTTATTTCTAGTTAGCCTCCAATTTTATTCCTTCAGAGGGTGGCGGGATCATCTCGAAGGCACCTTAGACAGTTTTTTTGCAGGTTTCCGCTTTTTATCTTCCTATTCACCTTTTGTAGTTGAGATCTCTGCTTTCCCGACATTTCTTTCTCAGAAAGTCCATAAATTGGTACACTGTAAGACCTATTAACAACGCTTCCTAGGCCGAGCCAATAAGCTCTCCGCTCCCTTATTTGAACTCGATTTTTCGTGTGGGAAACAAATCTAAACGTTTGACCCATTTTTGACCATATTTTCGTTGTATAAAACCCAAAAATTTCTATTTATTTTACGCTTTCTTTTCATTAATAGAGAGCATTAACTCTATTTTGTTCTCTCATTGCATCACCTTTTCTTGCACTTTCCATTCGTGAACTAAAGGCCTTCCTGTAAAGGACTCTTTGATTTCATAGCAATATCGTTTATAAGCCTCCAAAGAGTCATTCAGGAAAATTAAGATTAAAAAAAATGTGGAGATCAAATGATCTTCCCGGTAGTGACGATTTACAAAATAAACAGCTCAACAAACGTGCGTCAGTGAAATCGTCTCTCGAGCAAAATAAATGATCCACATTGCTTTTGACATCAAGCATTCACTACATCAAGTTTTGCCTCAGAGATCACGGTTAGACACAAAAAACTGAAACTTTTAAGCAGATTAGTGTCAAATTCAATGAAAGGTGTGGTAGATCTCATTTTCCAAGTTGCTAGGACGACTCTGAGCCTGTTGGGGACCACCTTACGACAAATATAAATCCTTATTTGATCCCTAATATACATGATTTTGTAGTTTCTTTCAAATATCTTTTCTCCTAATGAACTAGTTAAATCCACTGACGACAAAAAGACATTTTCATTGCTTCACTTCCTGGAATTCATTACATTCGGATGCCTAAAACTGGAAGAATAGTTATCGGCTCTTGCTCCGTGAATCTAAGGGATGCTACACATTTCCACAGATTGTGATCATGATTCTTTGGTTTAAACTCTCAACTAACCACTATGAATAACCATAGTCTTTTGGAGCCATAGCCCAAATGATGTCTAAAGGTCAGCATAATTTCAATAGTAAATTCTAGATGGAGGGAAACGGGCACCAAACTCAGTTGATGCTGAAGAGGGCTGGTATTCAGTCAGTTGAACCTTTGCTCGATCAATTGGTTACTGACACCATCAGAGTTCTCGGGAAATGAACTTCGTCTTAAGGAACCCCTGTTTGGCCTTTGTAAGCAATATTGCAGACATCTCCTCAGCAAACCGGCAACTTAATTTGATCTAGGTTAGGCATTCTTAGAGTAAAACAACAGAGACTTTGTTGAATAATACA